CACAAGATTATTGATGCATTTTTTTAAAAAGTGGTTAAATCGTCTTAATTAAGACGTTCCGAGTGTCTTAAATCACGATATTCGAATTATTTCCAGGCACTCTCCATATTCTCGCACTGACGCATTGCAAAAAATCGTAATGTTGTCTCAATTACGACGTCTTAAAAGTCTTAATTTAAGAAAAAAACTCGCAATGATTTCAAGACATAAAATATCGCCTCCATCAAACATTTCGATTCGAGAAACAGTTATTTTTAAGTTTCACGTCTTAATTTAAGGCGCATTTAAGATATTTAAGATGGTCTTAAATCGATATTTAAGAAACTCCATAAGTATCGCAAATTTAAGACTTCGGAATTTTGTTATAAAATAAAATATGAAGGGGTAATTATTACCAACAAGAATTTGCATAATCCTCGACTTTTTTCCCTCCGCGTAATCGATAACCGATCAGGGATCGATCTGTTGATATTCCCGATGATACTGGAGTCATGGAGAACGCAGGGGGATGCACGAGAAAGAAAAAAGTTAAAAATAGCTTGAATATTTCGTTGCCAGGGAGCTGCGATGATTCTCACGGCTCCGGTATTATATCGCGCAACCTCTTGCCTCTTGGCGATTCTTGATCTCGATCGTCGGCACTCTCGAGCTGCTCGTCGAAAGATCCGTGTGTATGAACCCATTTCGTCTGAGATAAAATGGGGAAAAAAGAGATCGTTCTCCCTCTCATCATCATCCTTGAATTCTCATTGAAGTGCAAGGATGAGTCTTAAGCATATCCAAGTGCTTTGGCGATTTTCTCTCCAGCAAAATACTTTTCGACTTTTTTAGTCGACTATCAGAGCTTTCATTTGAGTCCCATTTGACCCCAATTTTCCGCATATTTTGCAATGATCCATTTTTGGCAATTGACACCATCACGCTATTGTAAACAAACTTACGTTTTAAAATCTTTGAACACGGAGTTGCGGCTTAAAATCGTCTTAATTTAAGACACTAAACGCAGAAAGAATGTTTAAGCATTGAAAATCGCAAGCAATAAATTTCAAGTGTTAAAAAATTCTTCACTTCTCAAAACACGAAATTTTGTCGTGTCTTAAAATTTGAGCCGAATTTAAGACATTGATTTTTCCGACATAAAAAACCTTGTGATCATTTAATCGTTCACAAATTGCGATAATCTCGTGATAACAAGACGGAAAGCGCATCTGCGAGTGTCTTAACCCAATACAAGCGTCTTAATTTAAGACATCAGATGAAAAAAATATCCAAACAGTGAAAATCGCAAAGAATGTAATTTTGAGTGTCACACAAAATTTCTTCACGTCTCAAAACACAAAATCTGTCATGTCTTAACATTTAATCCGAAATTAAGACATTGACTTTTTCGACATAAAAACCCTGTGATCATTCAGTCATTCAGAAATTGCGATAATTTCGTGATAACAAGACGTAAACCCCGTCTCCGAGTATTTTAACCCAACACAAAAGTCTTAATTTAAGCCATCAACTGAAAAAAACCATCCAAGCATTGAAAATCGCAAAAAATGAAATTCCAAGTGTCAAAAAATTCTTCACGTCTCAAAACACAAAATTTTATCATGTCCTAAAATTTAAGCCGAATTTAAGACATTGATTTTTCCGTCATCAAAAAGCCTGTGATCATCCAGTCGTTCAGAAATTGCGATAATTTCGTGATAAGAAGACGTAAACCCCGTCTCCGAGTATTTTAACCCAATACAAAAGTCTTAATTTAAGCCATCAACTGAAAAAAAAACATCCAAGCATTGAAAATCGCAAAAAATGAAATTCCAAGTGTCAAAAAATTCTTCACGTCTCAAAACACAAAATTTTATCATTTCCTAAAATTTAAGCCGAATTTAAGACATTGATTTTTCCGTCATCAAAAAGCCTGTGATCATCCAGTCGTTCACAAATTGCGATAATCTCGCGATAACAAGACGTAAACGCCACCTCCGGGTATCTTAACCCAAGCGAAACGTCTTAATTTAAGCCTCCACTTTTCGCCGTAATCCCCAAGGTCATTTACCTCATCTAGTTTATCTCCCAACGTCAACACCACGCGCCGTTCTATCCTCACCGTCATTTGGGACACTTGCCAAGAGCGCAAGCCCAACACCTGCGATTCACCATGAGGACATTGCCAATACACAGAGAGAGCGAAAAAAAAAGAAACATTCACCGGATACGCACCTGCGATTCCACCAGGGTGCGGGTAGGATAATAGACACGAAGCACGTGTGTGGGTCGCTAAGAAAATTTCATCCATACAAATAAGTTTTGTCGAGGAATTTTTCCATCAGTTAAATAACGTTTTCTCCGTATATCGCAGAGATAAATGTTAAATGTTTGTAAAAAATTATTTTAATAGGGGGCATTAATTTTTGAATTGCCCATCGAAGCTTAAATTGACTGTTATTACAGCTGCATTCGACAGACTGGGGAATTTCATACGGAATTTAAATGAGCCATTTTGCCCCATTATTCTGGGAAATATGAAAATTAATTTCATAAAATTGAATTTTAATTGATGAACGGTTTAAAAATATACAAGATTTTTATTTTTGAGAAACAGTTAATTTCGCTGATGTTATTTGTAAGAAGAGAATGTTTGAAAAATTGACAAATTTGACTATAAAATTTTTTACTCGCATTTTTTTTAGACTCAGGCGAAAACGTCTCGCTACAGTTGACGGAGTAGAGTTCCTCGACTTGGCCACAATGCCTGTAATTTCTCAAGATGTTGAATCAATGATATGGAAACGGCCGAGTGAGATCACTTGTTAGAAAACCGCAGTGATTACTCCACGACAGCTTCAATATCCGCTTGTCTACCTCAAAAATAGCCGGGACTGTTACAAAACTGATCCTGCGGTGATCGATGAAATTGTCTCAATGTTTGCGTTTTCACGGGCAATTTCACTCGACTCCTTCAGCAAAATGAATAAAAATGGAAGTGAATATGAGGAAGAGTCGCATGATATTTGCCAGAGATTTCCACTCTGGTGGAAAAATATCTGTCACTGAATGAGAATGAGCAGAGTCAATTACTGCGTGTCGTGTGTAGGTCAGGAAACAGTCGTTCGATACTCGGTACCCACAACATTTGCCTGATCAAACATTCCCGATGTCTCTTCCATTAGTTGGGAATTTACTTTCCCATTTAGCGATTGGCTGTCACCTATGAAAGTTCATATGTGGGTCATATTGTTCCACCTATGTGGTAAATACCTCGATGGGTTCATCCAGTCCGGAGATAATTCATAACGTCGAGAAAATCATTATGAGGAAAATATTTACCCGGGGCACTTCAGGCATTTTTAGTGGCGTCAGTTGATAATGGAAGTGATTTTTTTCTTATCTTGGGAGGCAAGATGAAATTAAGACACATACCCTGGTGTTTTAAATTTTGTATTTTACACGGAGAGAAAACTTTAGTTATGCCGGAAAATTATGTTCCTCTGATGAGGTCTTTTGTCATGTTGAATCAATTTACTTGTGGACAAAAGTATTTTTATTATGTATTTTTTCCTGCCATTAGTGCGAATTCTTCTAGAAATATTTCTGATGTTCATATAGTTTTTCGGTAGAGCTATAATTTTTTCTCTCAGTGAACATTTTCAGGCGTGAAACAATGGTTAACTCGTCGGAACCTTGAGTCACATTTTCAAATTAAACTTGGGGGCCAACATCACTGCAAAAATGAGGTCTAAAATTAAGACGGTTTTAAGACGTTCATGTTTTTGGATTCGAGTCATTTCCATTGTCTTCAACAATTATATCGGGCGGAGAAACGGATGTCTTAAATTTCACGGTTTAATTTTAGGACATGCGTTGAGTCTTAAATTCAGTTGATTTGGTTGTACTCTTAAGACAATTTAGTCCGTGGGATTCAAGCATCTATCGTTGTCTTGGGTTGTGGTGATTGACAATGGGATGAATGGCTTAAAATGAGAATATTAATGTAGGACCCTTTGAAGACATCCTCGTTTTTGAATTCCAGTCATTTTTTACATCTTAAATCAACAAATTTGATATTTGATAATGGGTTGGACGTCTTGATGATTGGTAGCTTAATTTTAAGACATGAAAAAATATTTTATTTTGACATATTTAACCTTCAAGTAATACTATTTCTGACATCGAAACATTTTCGACGTTTCGCGTCTTAAATTAAGCCACCTTTAAGACCTTCGAAAATATCATTACTCCCCAAATTTTGATAATTATCCAACTCTCATTTTTTCTTGATATTATGGTGCGCTATGAATGCAATCAATTTTGTGGCTTAATTTTTAAGACATGATACGAGTCTTAAATTAAGTCACTTGGTCATCCATCTTAAGACAATTTATTCCCTCGAATTTAATTCATTTCTTATGTCTTAAACGATAATAAAAAATTATGTTAATGGCTTCAATTTGATGGCTTCCATTTTAAGACATGTCAACAAGTCCCATTCCGATATACGTACAATTTCAATTCATGCAATTTTAGTCACTAATACTTCATTTAAGCCTCACGTCTTAAATCAAGCCTTCCTTAAGACCCTCCCACAAACCATTAATCCCCTAATTTTGACAATTTCTCAAACCTTGTTTTTCTTTACATCGAAGCGCGCCGTGAATGTCATCAATTTCGTGTCTTAATTTTTAAGACATGATACGAGTCTCAAATTAAGTCACTAGGTCACCAATCTCAAGACAATTTATTCCCTCGACTTTAATCCATTTTTTGTGTCTTAACTGAAGATAATTGAAAATGACGTAAATGGCTTAAATTTGACGGCTTAATTTTTAAGCCATAACAACAACTCCCATCCCGACATGCTTAAAATTTTAATTCATATAATGTCACTCACCAATACTTTGTATAAGCCTCATGTCCTAAATTAGGCCGCCCTTAAGACGCGCCCAAAACCCATTAATCCTCAAACATCGGTCATTTCCCGACTCTAATTTCTTTTCTCTCACCCACAGATGAATCAACAGTGCAAAGTCTGCGGAGAGCCAGCGGCAGGTTTCCATTTTGGTGCGTTCACGTGCGAGGGCTGCAAGGTCAGTAACAGAACAAAAAAACCCCAAGTTATTTATTTTGAAAATGTGAGGCATGGCATTCATGAAGCAGAAAACCAAAATACGATGAAAAAAAAAAATAAAATGAAAGAATTGAACAGAGACCGCTTGCTTTATCGCAAAGGCTGTATTTCCTTACTGGATGTCGCAAAAGCCACAGAGCAATCGCTTTCACGACCCGAGGTTAAACGTTTGGTTAGGCATGCGTGTATAGTGACCCCTTCGCTGTATTTGAATTGAAAGAAAATCCAACCGAGAGAGCGAGAGAGGGGATACAACTGCAGGCTCAATAAAACTTACCATCCCTGGCGCAAATTCCAATATTAATTATCGGAATTAAAAACCCGGGGATTTATAAATTATCCGATAATATGAGGATTAATGATGCACCATATATGTGAGAAATATTTTCAGCAGAATTGTTGAACGAAATATTCATACGAAAAACTTTATGCCAAGAAGAAAAAATAATTGGTGTGACAAGACGATTTCATTTTCATTATTGTTCATCTGTCTGATCAATTAAATTATAAAAACACGAAATTATCTCAAAAATCATCTGCCCCAGTCCGAAATAGTCATCTAGATAACTGTTCGCGCTCCACATAATCTCAAAAAGGCCCACAAATTCCATCCTCAACGAAAGTGGGAGATGTGACATGCTACGATGGGCCTGAAAATGAAAATAACGAAATGAAAACAATGTCGCGGATTGCGCAATGGTTAACTAGGGCGGAAACAATTGTGGCGGGCAAGTGCGAAGCGCCGGAAGAGGCCACCGTGCCTCAACAATTCCCCCCTCTTGCGCTATGATTTCATCTCTGGTGAGTGCCCCTCACCCATGACATAACCATAAGAATATCATTTTCATCACGCTGTGATGAAAAGTGAATTTTTCGGCACGATCGGCGTGCCTAAAAGTCCAATTTCCGCCACATTGTGATGAAAAATATTGTTCGTAACTCGTGAAAAAATGTTTTTTAGCACTCGTTACGAAATATACCATTTCCTGCTGTTGTTGGTTTCAATAAAATGGACCTTACGACTTTAAATCAAGGATTATTCAATAAGATTATTACGAGATGAATGAATAAGCCCAAAAAAACAAGTGGACAATTCCATTTTTTTATAAATTAGAATGGGTTCTTTTTTTTTAATTCTTATTTCACTATTCTCTTCTCCTATTTTGTTCATGTCACAGTACTATCATCAATCGATTTCATTGTTATTACTGATGATTCTTTCAGTAATTATGAAAAAACCGATTTTTAGAAAAATAGCAATTTTTTCGAATCTGTGTGAAAAATTTAATTCCAATTAGTGTCAACGATTAGCGCTTATTAAAGTCTATATACATGGAAAAATTCGTGAAACTGATTGATTCCTCATAAAAAAATCCTCCACAAATAATGAAAACCTTAAATTTGCAAGAATAACGCAAACAAAAATGAATTGATTCTCATCAAATAGCAGATCGCCGACGATTTCACTTCGATAGCTCATTAAATTTGGCAGCGAAACGCGACCGAAAACTCGGGCACGAGGTTAAAGCCTCTCTCGCGCACTGCCATTTATATTTTTTTCCCCCCGTCACAAATTGCATAATCCAACTACTTAACTCGGGTACAAGTTAGTTGTACATAATGGTGGCACTCGTTTTTTCACGATTGTGTCATCGGAGTTTAAGTTGTGAGGCGACAAGCGTCATGGCATCGCAGTCCTGGTGGCTCCGCAAGACAGACCAGCGCCAGACATTGCGCGGAAAAATCGGCCGATTGTGATCTCATGCCGAATGTCCCACATGCGTCTCCACCTTGTCATTATACCCCATTGCGATCATCGGCCTCTCGATGGGCGACAGTCGCGCTCATTCTTTCCATCTAATATTGTAATTCCACCTTCACTCTTAATAGTGGCCACCTTCAGCGTAGTACGCGTCTATGAACATCGGGGACTGTTGGAGCGCGGGAAGAGGCCTCTCTGAAAGGAGGCGAACCGACCGGAAACTATTAATAATAATCCACACACGCGCCTGCGCGGCCGGAAAAAAAAGGGAAAGCGCAGGAAAACGACGAGGTCTTGTCATGGGTGCCTAACCTGCGTTATTTTTCGCATCAGCGGTAGATAAGATTGGCCGAGAGATGGCTGCTGATAGCTGATTGTGAATGGCTTCTAACCTATGAGGGGAAGCAGCTTATCGGAGAGCACTATGGGATTTATATTTTGCAACACCAATTCTTTATGAGTAATTATTCAAAATTTGCGCTGCCGGAACTGCTCCGATATGATTTATTCATTTTTTCATTGAGACAAGTATTGACAATTTATTTTATTGTTCATCTCCATGATTATTAATAATGATTTTGAGTCATGGGACTGATTTCCAATATCCCATGACTCGAAATCATTTTCAGTACTTGTCCCACTAAGAAAAATTATAAGCGCCGGACTACGGCGAAAGACAAACTCTAATTGGCACCGAAATTCCTTTCATTTTATTGACAATTTTTGGTGGAAATTTCAAATTAAAAAAAATTAGGTTCTCAGTAATTAACGATTGAAGAAAAACGTTTTCTCGTATAAATCCCGTGGAACTAAAGATAATGCTATGTATGACATCTCATTTCGAAGGGTTTTTCATTTTCTTTAAGTGAGCCAAACAGCTATATGATACCCTGAAACCTCGCAGAAATATTGAAGCCAATTTGTAAAAAAAAATTTTTCGACAAAAACCGTCGTTTTCAAAAAATCATAACTCCCTCAATTATCGATATTTTCAATTTTTCTTTTTTCAAAATTTTGTTCTAATCGCCATCTTTTCAGAAAAAAATTGAGCCGTTGAGTCCTAAAATTGGCCGACGCATAAAGTCCTGACCCTAATGACCCTTATATTCTCTCGCCACGTGATGCCTTCAACTCTGACGCCCTCCCCCAAAGATAACCTCGCCTAAACCTAACCCATTGCACCAGGACACTCGTTTGCACTCAGATATTTATCTATCCGGTTTCTTTATTCTTTATTACAACCTCCCTCCCCCTCCCGCCCATTTCCCATTGTTCCATCGTCGACGACCGTGTCCCTCTTAACCGAGAAAACGAAAACTGCAATTACTTTGTTTACCGCGTGTGCCATACTCGCACGCCAATTTGTATCAGCGAAAGAATAGTGGTATTTCGACCAACTCCACTGCCTCCTCACTTATCACGATTTTTGTCTTCTTACGGAGTCGGAATCTCTTGATTACACCATGTACAACAATTAGGGTTCGAAACACGAGTATTACGGGACAACTGGCCCAGGCGCACGCGCCTTGACTAGAGGCCCCCCTGCCCCCCCCCCCCCCCCCCCCCCCAATTTTCAGTAAAAATTCGCTATTTCTCTTAGTTTAGGAGATATTTCTGAAAAACTCACCGACTCAATCCTTTCATTGTGCATTCACAACCCCCCCCCTCCCCCAAAATTTTCAGTAAAAATTCGCTATCTCCCTTAGTTTAGGAGAAATTTCTCAAAAACTCACCGACTCAATCTTTTCATTGTGCATTCACAACCC